GGAGGTGGGGAAGAGACAGAAATCTTTAATAAATTAAAAATAAATAAAAAAAAAAAAAGTGCTCTCTTACACTTGGCTTCAAATTGTGGCTATGGAGTCCCAGGTAAAGCGCAGTGTCTGTCGGGTGTGAGACTACAGTCAACAAGGTGTGAACAGAAACTAGCGGGGTAGGAGACTGGTAGGAAAGAGCCAAGACAGTTTGCGTGTCTAACCCTCAAGAAGCTTACAATCATGATGTCCCAGTGGATAACATTAGCTCATAGGGTCCATACAAATGTCTGTGGAGTGAGTGACGAGAATGTACCATAGTTAAAACCTTGACTTGCTAAAACTGCGTGCCATAGCACAAGCAGAAGCTAAGGAATAGGATGCAGTTCTGAGAACCACTGAAGTCCAGCCAGGGATGGTGACACAGAGGCAGACTATGACTTCAAAGCAACCTCGTCTGTATAGTTCTGGACCAGCCAGCGTGACATAACGAAAGGGCAAGCTGGTTGTAGAACATTATAAGGCCCTGGGCTCAGTTGCACACATGAAACGGAAAGCAGGGTACGGAGTGGGGAAGGGGGTTTTCATTTTAGTTATGACGACAGTCTCATGAGTAGGAGGCCTCGCTGAGCTGTGTTCAAGTTTGACCTTGTCTGAATAGTGAGAGTATACCCTTCTGCTCCTGACAGCCGGGGCATCCTAACAATACTACGGCTCCCACCTACAAATGCTTAGTCTTCCACTTTTCTTTTTTTTTTTTTTTTTTTGGTTTTCGAGACAGGGTTTCTCTGTGGCTTTGGAGCCTGTCCTGGAGCTAGCTCTGTAGACCAGGCTGGTCTCGAACTCACAGAGATCCACCTGCCTCTGCCTCCCGAGTGCTGGGATTAAAGGCGTGCGCCACCATCGCCCGGCAGTCTTCCACTTTTCTCCAACTTCACAGCTAGCACACTAATTTAGGTCACCCTGAATAACTAACTATATCACCTTCCTGTCCTGGTTATTTTGTTTCCCTACAATTGATTCCTCATACCCCAGAGTTAATTCATTCATTTATTTATTCATTCCCTCTCTCTTTCTCCAGGGTCTCTCACTATGGCCTCAAATTCACAGAGCTCAACTTGTATCTGTCACTCAAGTGCAGCAACCACCCCCAGCTACTCACCCCTTTGTCAGGGATACTTTAGGAAAATAAACCCGGCCATGAAATTCTACATTCTGATGATTTCCTATTATCCTTCGAACAAAATTCACAAAGCCCATGAAGCAAGCAATGGGTACTTTTTTCCTTGTTTTTATTTCCTCATCTTTCCTGTGTTTAAGGTGTTTTGGTCCTCATTAACACTCCATTCTAACTCTCCATTGGCTTGCTTTCAGCTTCCTGAACTTTTAGGCTCCAAGCACTCACTCCTCTAGAAAGCTCCCCTGGACTTCGTTCTCATCTCCACTTAGCTAAGTTCTAGCCTTTCTAGTCGGCCATATCTGTAGGCCCCTTCTAGCCCTCGTCACTACACATCTGTCCACTGTGGGTGCCTGTTGTCTGGATCCTCAAGCAAAGCCTAGGAAGGGTAGGGCAGAGACTACGTGTCTCTTTCTGTAGGAGCCCGGAACAAAGTATGCACACTCAATGGGGTCAGGAAGAGAGGATCAGTGGGGCGGCGAGCATTTTAAAATGATGCTCTTTAGGTAAGCAAACGTACCGGCATTCCGTGGGTTATTTTAAAAAGACTTGAAAGCAGGGCACGTACGGTGAACACGGGGTTCAGAGAAAGAGGAGGATAAGAGGGGAGGGGTAAATGTGACCAAATCTGCATGTGTATACACTAAACTGTCAAAGATAAACTTTTAAAAAATAGAAATAAAGGGGCGCTCTTCAAAAGAATACAAATTAAACGAGGCTCCTTAAGCACACGAGCCCTCAATCTTCCAGCCCCGGAAGAAGGTCTCCAGTTCGCCCGATCCGGATCTCGCCGCCTCTCACCCTCAGAGTTTCGCGCGTCTCTCCCTTGGACCCCAAACCCTTCGCGGACGCCCTGAGTCCCTCACGCGCCCTAGGCCCGGCATTACTCACCCAACACCCCGTCCTCTTCCCGGTCCGCACAGGAACGCGCCAAAAATTACAACTGGGCTCCGCCCCGCCTCTGACGTCACGCGCTCGCCTGGCGAGGACGCCTCTGATTGGCTACATCGGAACTGTGCGCTGCCACTGATTCTGGGCGGGGTAAACACCGCCTCTCAGTAGAGAAAGCTGATTTGGTGTAGGTCCCTCGGCGCCATCTTTGTTATGGGCAAAGAACTTCCGGTTAGTGAATTCGCCGGTTCCTGTAACTAAAGCCCCTAGCGCGTCCGAGCTCCAGCGTTTACTCCTCTCCGTTAAATGGAGTTTCTCTAAGTACTAACTACACAAGCCTAGACGACTATCAAACGGCGCTCACTGCTGCCCTCACAGGTCTCCCTGGTGTAAGTGAACGTATCGAAGTCTGAACCAGTTTTGCTGATCCTGTGTCCAGTTTAGATATTAAGATTTAAATACAGAGAGAGCCAAGTTTCTACTTTTCAATGTCTGACATACAGGAACTAACATCTGTTCAGATTTTGTTTCATCATCTGTAAAATGAGGGAAGGCTAGATGATATTTTTGGGCTCAGAAACCAATATTCCTAGGATAGTGCAGAGTTGGGAAACTAGAATTTAGGTCAGAGTTGAGAATAATTTATTAGATCGTTCTTTAGTAAAATTCAAACTTCATGTATTTACATCCTAAGCAGTGTTTATACTTAGTACTAAAAGTAGTTTCCAAGCTGGGCAGTGGTGGTGCACGCCTTTAATCCCAGCACTCACGAAGCAGAGTAGGCAGATCTTTGTGAGTTCGAGGCCAGCCTGATCTACCACCCTGAGCTAGTTCCAGGACAGGTTCCAACGTCTACAGAGAAACCCTGTCTTGAAAAAACAAAAAACAGAAACAAACAAAAAACCCAAGTCAGTTTCCAAATGCAGAATATTTAGCTTCCATAATAACGAAGACTTCATGCACAATTTTGTTGTTGCTTTAGACAGGGTCTTTCCTTGTAGCTCTGGCCTGGAACTTTCTATGCAGATCAGCCTTGAGGTTACAGAGATCCACACGTCTCTGCCTCCCACGTGCTGGGATTAAAGGCCTGTTTCACTATGCCTCGCTTGCTTTTTGTGTGTGTGAGCGTGTTTTTTTTTGTTGTTGTTGTTTTGTTTTGTTTTTTGTTTTTTTTTTGGTTTTTTTTTTTTTTTGAGACACGATTTCTTTGTAGCTTTGGAGCCCACCTATAACTCGTTCTGTAGACCAGGCTGGCTTCAAACTCACAGAGATCTGCCTGTCTCTGCCTCCCCAGCACTGGGATTAAAGGCGTGCACCGCCACCACCACCACCCAGCTCTGTCCTGTAAACTCACTTTGTAGACCTGGCAGCCTTTGAATTTAGATAATATCTACCGTGTCTCTGCCTCCCTAGTGCTGGGAGGAAAGGCGTGGCCCACCACAGCCTGTCTAGATAGACTAATTCTTGTGTCACTCTGAAGTTCCTTTCTTCCCCTGAACGGTCCAGGTAACCTTTGCTTCCTGTGCACTCTGAGGAATAGGAAGTTATCAATCAATCCAAGCACTGAAGCTCAAATGAATGCGGAGAACCAAGCAATCTGTATTGAAATTGGTTTGGTGGTAATTTTGAGGAAAGAGGAGGAAGTGATTTTGAAAAAAAAAAAAAGATTCAGAATCCATTTAGTGTGGGATATCCGGAAGAGGGAAAGGAGGGAGAGAAAAGGTAGACAGAAGAGGGCTGGTTAACTGGGTGTCTCTCGAGGTCTGCTCTTCAGTGCGGAATATGGGAAACACATGTCTAAGGGAGATGATGGGGACCATTTGGGCTTCAGACTGGCCTATGAGTATGTCAGTCACTTCTGTGACAAAATACCCGAGACAGCATAAGGCAAGAGCGACTCTGATGGTTGTTTACAGACGTTGGTAGGGCACGAGGGTATGGTTAACAAGGCAGAGCATGGCAGGAGGGCATGGTGTGGCTGAGCAGAGCTGCTCCCCTCATGGCAGCCAGGAATAACGGGAAACCAATAACAAAGTTTATCATTCCTGCCCTCAGGGATCTGCTTTCTCCAGCTAGGCCTTCCCTTCCAAAATTCCACCACATCTCACTAGTCTATTCAAACCTGGGATCCATCAGTGAATGAATCCTCATTTTCTCAAAGATCCTCTTCTGAACATTGATTCTCCTGGGGGCCAGGACTTCAGGACAGGAATCATTTGGGGAGTGGTGTAGGAGGTTTTTCTGTCTATGTGTTGCTTTCATTGGTTGAATAAAGTAACTGCCTTGGCCTTTTGATAGGGCAACACTTAGGTAGGCGGAGTAGACAGAAGGAAATGCTGGGAGGGGAAAGGCAGAGTCGAGAAGTCAGGGTTCTCCTGTCTGAGACGGACTCTGGTTAGACTCATGCCGGTAAGCCACAGTCAAGTGGCGATACACACTAATGGAGATGGGTTAAACTAATATGTGAGAGTTAGCCAATATGAGGCTAGAGATAATGGGCCAGCCACAGCCAGTGTTTAAATGAATAGATTTTTTTTTGTTTTTTTTTGTTTGTTTGTTTTGTTTTTTTTTGTGATTATTTCGGGTGTAAGCTAGCTGGGTGGCTGGGTGGCCAGGACAAAAAGCAGGCCCTCTCTCCTCCTGTTACAGGGGAGGACACTTCATAGCTAAAGCACAACCTAAGAAAGAGAATGAAGAGAGGACCATGAGCAGCTTGCTTCTCTTTAACTGAGGAACTCAAGACAGGCTTCACTCTCTTAGAAGAAAAACTGGGGCCCACACACTAGCTTTAAAATATTGCAGGATTGTTTTTGGTTTTTCTTTTTTAAAGATAGGGTCTTGTTGTATAGCCCAAGCTGGCTTTGAACTCCTGGTAGTCCTCCTGCCTCAGCCTCCCAAGTGGTGGTATTACAAACAGGGATGTACCATGTAGTGATTCTTAATTTTGGGGGTGGGCGGTGCTGGGGGTGCTCACAGACCTCTTTGAGAAAATAATAAAACTAGTTTTTCTTCTTTCTAGGAAAATATATACTCTCAAGAGTTTGCATGCTTCTCAGTTGTTCATACACATTTTGGAAGCTAGTCCAGATTTCTCTAAGATTAAGAGTTTGCTGCCAGCCCGGTCTACAGAGGGAGTTCCAGGAGCTTCTGGTGCAGTAGGCAAGAAACTGGGAGGAAGAGGAACCAATGATCAGAGCAGCCAGGTTGGGTAGGGCAGAGTTTGTGGGGCACCCTTCTTCTGCTCCTCACCCATCCTCATGTATTAGTTGATCGCATTCGTGTGGGTTTGCTTCTTTCTAAATATGCCCTCCTGTACTGTTTGTCTGTTTTGCTGTCAATACTCTAGTCTTGATTGTAGTTTTCAGTGTGTTGAGGTTGTTAGAAAAACCATATTTGTGTATGTATACATATGTATGTATGTGTGTGTATGTGCGCGCACACACAAGGTGGTTAATGTCCCAGAATAAATAATGAACACAACTGCAAACAATAGCAAAACTGTAGCAACAACCAACAACTTAACAAAGTCTTTGAGTTCATTATTCGATACTGTTTTGGCTATTTCAGGTTTTTTATAATACCACCTTCCCATTTAAAATTTAGATGTCACTTTGTTGGTATCACCAAATAGCCTTCTAGGATTCTGACCGGAATTACATTGAACTTATAGATTAAGTTAGAACATCTTGAAATTTTTATATGTATACATTTTTGAAACTTTCATACAAAAATACGATGTTTTTGATCAGATTATCCTCCATGACGTTCTCTTACTCCCCACCATTTCCTGCTGCACTGCTTTCCGACAACCCTCCTGCTATAGGCATGTCCTATTGCAAGCACTGTGTTTCGTCAGGGTTGCTTACATGAGCACAGAGGGGAGTTATTTACTACTCTGTGGTCAACTTAGCAGTGATTACACTTCTAAGGAAAACGACTCCCCTTCCTCTGGCAACCCATTGACTGTCAATAGCTCTTCAAGGAAGGCATGCTGATGGGAGTCCCATCTTGTGTAGGTATTGTGCAGGTATCCACACTTGCTGTGAGTTCAGGCAATGGCCAGAATATCGTAGCACCCCTCCCCATCTTCTGGCTTCCCCTTGTGATATTCCCTGGCCGTGGATGGCGTAATACAGATGTTCTGTTTCGTCTGTTCTCAACAGTCACTCACTAGTAGTCATTTATTAGAAGCAGAAGAAAAAAAATGAAGATAAGTAGAACTCAACTACATCAGAATAAAAGAAGTCTGTCTGGCCAAAGGAATAATAAGTCAAGTTGAAAGCTTCAACTACAGAATGACAGGAAATCAAACTGTGTGTGTTGTATGAAAAGTGGTTAATGTCCAAAATACCAACAACCAGAAATGGAAGAAAACCAAATAATGCAGTTTAAAAATGGGCAAAGGACTGGAGGAGACATGTCTCTGAAGACTTACAAGTGGCCGACGGGTATAAGAAAGGCTTAAAATAACTGATCACTGGATAAACACAAAGCCAAATGACAGTGATATATTATCTCATCTGTTAAGATGGCCATATCAGAAAAAAGAAAGAAGAAAGCAAGAAAACAATAAATGTTAATAAGGATATGTGGCTGGGGAGATGGCTAAGTGGGTAATGTACTTGTTGTGCAAGCCTGGCAGCCGGGGGGATTTGCTAGGAGAGTAATATGTAATATGAGAGTCAGTAATTTTGACTACCAGCTTGACTGGATCGCTAAGTACCGCGGAGATTAGCAGCTTTCCCCTGAGTTTCCAGCAGGTATAGACTGGCACGCAACATAAGCAGCACTACCCTGCCTGTGAGGAGCCCAGTGGGATCAGGCATCTCTCTCTGCTCCCTGGCCTCCCATGGCGTGAGCTGCCCAGTTCCGCCACACCTTCCCTTGCAGGAAATGCCAAAACCTCTGGAACATAGAGCCAAAAGAAAACTTTCTTCCTTTTCAGTTTTCTGTCGGATATTTTGTCACAGCCATGAAAGTCTGATTAACACATGCAGACAGTCATGCTATTAACACATGTGAATAACTCTTCAGGCATAAAGATACCATGCATAAGCCAGGCATGGTGCTTTAATTCCAGCACCCAGGAAGGAGGCAAGTGACTCTCTGTGAGTTTGAAGCTAGTCTAGTCTACATAGTGAGTTCCAGGACAGCCAGGGCTACATGGTGAGAGCTGGTCTCAAGAAAAAAAAAAAAACAAGAAAAGAAAGAAAATAACATGTACAAAGCTCCTAACTGGTAACATGGAACAAGGTCTTAGAACGCACAGTAGATTAAATAAATCAGATATCACACACGCAGCATTTACAAGTTGTTTACTAAACCGGCGATTCCCTTAAAACTACACAGCCTTAATATACAAATTACTGCAGTCACTATTCTGTACAGAGATCACTATGGCTCATCCCTCCTGAGATGTCGTGCCCTTAGATCAGCCTCTGCTCTCCCTTCCCACACCTTCCCTCATGTGCCACCACTCAGCTCTCAACATCTATGAGTTCGATTTTTTTCAGAGTTCACATACAAGTGAAGTCATGACTGGCTTATTCCACTTGACATGATGTCTTCCAGGCTTATCTCTGTTAAAGTTATAAGAGTCCCTTCTTTTTAAAGGCTGACTGCTACTTCAATATATATGTGTATTGCATTTTCTTTGTCTAGGTGAATGGCACCTAGGTTGCGCTGTATTCTAGCTACTGCAGAAAATGCTGCTATGAAGATGGTATACAGACAGCTCTCTAATTGTCTGAATTTGAACTTGCCCTCATTTGCAGTCCTCTTCATGATCAAACAAATGTAATGGCCATAGTCTTATTAAGACCATTGAGTTCTCATTTCACAGTTTGGATTGATCAGATAATGATACTTGAACAAAATGAAAGGATTTTCCCAGTAACTTCATTGAGAAAGATTTCCTCCTCTGTCTGGGATACTATAGAAATCTACATTATCCAGTATAAAATAGGAAAGAAATTTGTACCAGAAATATAAGAAGAGAAAAATGTCATAGTCATTTTAGAAATGTCATTAACAAACATTGTCCCTTGGGGTGCAAGTGGGGGAATCAAACCGACCTACTGCCGGACTAGTATAGTGTTATATTGTCTTGGAGTACAGCCATGGAGATAACTGTAACTTGGACAGTAAGTTCCCTTGCAATGAATCAACTGTTTTGATTCTATTTAAATACAGACACATGTGTATTTAACCAGCGGTCTTATGGTGAACAGCAACAAAGCAGATCTTCTCATTTTCTCTTAAATGTTTTAGGAGTTGATACTGTTCACTTTTGTGACTCGTTTAGCTCTTGCTAGCCTTTTAGACAGAAAACACGGTGAATCCCTGTTTATTCTGTGTAGTCCTGGCTGGCCATGAGCTGGTGATCTCCAGTCACAGTTTCCCATATGCTGGAATTGCAGGTGTGCTCTGTACTACATGCCTGACTCTGTTCACCAGCTTAGCAGGGATCTCGTCTGAACATGTCCTGGCCCTCTATGATAGCAGGGATCTCATCTGAACATGTCCTGGCCCTCTATGATAGCAGGGATCTTATCTGAACATGTCCTGGCCCTCTATGATAGCAGGGATCTTATCTGAACATGTACTGGCCCTCTATGAAGGGACCTGCTCCTGTTTACATGAATAAAGCATCTCAGTGTTGAGGTTACATTAAGTTAAATGTAATACAGAACATACATACTACAATGTCACTGGCCATATATGAGCCATGGGACAGACTTGTAGTGAAATTTTATTTTGTAATAACTGATGTTTGTAAGCTTCTACTTCATCTGGGAAGGATATAGCTGTTCTGTTTAAAATTATACTGTGTGCTGTACTAGCCCTTATACCTCCGGCACAAAAAAGACCGACAGTATCCTCACACTGTCCAGCTGTAGGAAAGCACTCCAGTCCTGAGCCACATTCCCAGCCCTCATCTGGCCTGATAGCCATAGAAAACTCAGTGCTCAGGCAGAGAGCCAAATAATTACACAAAAAAACAACAAAGCACCTGCAGGTGAAGACTCGCCTAGAAAAACACTCCAGACACGGTTCCTTAACATCTCATCTTCCTGCCACATAAAGACTCTTAACATATGTCATTCGAAACACATGGCATTCTGGCTGACTGCTCTCTGTAAGTCTTAGGAGTAAACATAAAAACACCGATCTCCTACTGGAAGGGTGGTAACTAGAATCTACTACTAGATTCCTGTTAGTCCAGAAGATGCTCTCCTTAGGATGGGTACATTTTCTTTCTCCTGAAATAAGGATAATGTGGCAAAAAGATTTGTGTGACAACAAATAAGACAGAAGTCCAATTCTTGGAGGAGAAAATGTGGCATTTACCAACAGTTTTGGGGAGCTGAAACAACAGTCAAATGATGCAGTCCATGACATGGATCTGTAGCGTGTCCATGTCCGGCAGAACTTCTCCACATTTGGGGCAAGAGTGAATCGGAAGACTCCGTGGCTGCTGCTGTCTCCAGCTCATGTCCTCGGCTCCTGGGAATAAACAAGAAGCGACATGTGCCATCAGTTCCATCTAAGACCACTGTGGGCTGAATTTAGTAACAGAAGGTTAATGTGAGCATCTGTAAAACTTAGCAATCAGTATCTGTTGGATACAGATGTATAATTTGTACATCAGAGGAAATTATGACTACAAATACAGAGAATTCTAGAAATAGTAACTTATTTAAACTGGATCTCAAGTTCAAGGTCTGTGAAAACATAGTTTCAGTTCTAGGTACAGGTCAAGACACATTCTATTAAGAGATGGGGGGCTGGAGAGATGGCTCAGAGGTTAAGAGCACTGGCTGCTCTTCCAGAGGTCCTGAGTTCAATTTCCAGCAACCACATGGTGGCTCACAGCCATCTGTGATGAAATCTGGAGCCCTCTTCTGGCATGCAGGCATACATGGAAGGAATGTTATATACATAATAAATAAGTAAATCTTTTAAAAAAAGTAAGAGATGGATGAGACTAGAAAGAAAAGAAAGTTTCTTGGAAGGACACGCCTATTCTCAGAAGCAGACAACAGTCTCCTTTATTCAGTAGATGGTGAACCCTCCAGGATGTGCGAAAGTTCCACTCTCTGCTGGGATATCAGTGAGGTGGGGAAGTCAGGTGGAACGCAGTAGGCGCAGCCTCAGGTACAGAGGTTCAGCAGGTTTGAGAGGAGGGCCCCTGGCTCTCAGCAAGGCCTTGTTATATGGGGATGAAGCACCTCTCCAGAGGCTCTTGTACTGGTCCTCGGATGGCAGCACTCTGGCAGGTGGGAAAGCTGTGGGACTTTTAGAAGGTGCAGCTTATCTGAAGGAAGTAGGTCGCTGTGTGGTGTTGGGGCTCTCAGGTACCCTGCCCTTGCCCTCCTGTCTCTACTTCCTGTCCACCACCTCTCCACATGTTCTCACTGCCATGATGTGCCTCACAAAACGTAATCGAAATATATCCCAACTCTAAGTAGATCATGGATCAAAAAATTTGCCGTTAATGTTGAAAAGTGTTTCTGCTTCCAGGGCATTTCTCTGACCCGACTTCTATGGACCACATTTTTGGCTCTTTAGAGTCTAGACTAGTAATTGGTTCAGCACGCAAAGCATCATTTTTGGAGTAGGACCTTTAATATATGGCTGCTTCAAAGCACATTACTTGAATTTATGATATAAAAGGTTATTAGATGGCTTGTGGTAAGCAAATTTAGAACACTTTTATTGATTTATTTTATTGACTTTTATTATTTATTTTATTGCTTTATTTGTAATACTGAGGGTCAAACTAGGGCCTTAGGCATGTTAAGCTAACTCATTATCACTGTGGGTTGGGGGGGTATAGATGTTTGTACGCACATATGTGTGTGGGAATGCTAACCTGTGCATACATGTGTGGAGGCCACAGGTTGACTTCTAGTGTCTTTCTTTGCCACACTCCAACCTAACTTTCTGAGAAGGTGAGCCTTTCCTCCCGATGCTGAAAGTGCCTGAGACTAACATTTAAGTCAGGCTGTGTGCTATTTATCTCCTCTGTGCCTGCTCCAGGGATGCATATGTTTATTGTTTGGATTTATTTTGTGATTTAGGATTTTTATTTTTAATTACTATATACACAGATATGTAAAGTACTCATTCTGTTATTTTTTTTTCATGTGTGTTTGTATGTGTGCTGTGTGTGTTCAGGTGCTTGCAGAGACTAGAAGAGGGAGTCAGACCGCCTAACGCTGTAGTAACAGGCAGTTTTGATGGCCTGAAGTGGGTGCTGGGAACTGAACTTGGGTCCTCTGAAAGACCAACAAGTATTCTTAGCTGCTGAGCCATCTCTCTAGCTCCTTTATCAATTCATATTAATTATTCGGAACAGTGGGCTTCACTGTGATCCTTTCATATATGTTTATTGATCTTAGTTTTATTTTTTTTATTTTTTACTTTTATTTTTATTTTTTTTTTTGAGAAAGGCCCAGGCTAGCCTGAAGTTCTCAATCTTCCTGTCTGTCTCACGAGAACTAGGATTTCAGGCATAAATCACAACACTTGGCTACTAAACTTATTTTTAACTTATTTTCCTATCAACAGGCTTTGTTGAGGGCATGGGGAAGGAGGGAGGGACAGAGAGGAAATACGAAATGACGTCCATAGAGACTGCCCCAGATTCACCATCCGGGTTGCTATGTATGCTAATGTTTTGCTGCTGGTGGCCCCACGGTGGGCGCCACTGTCGATTGTGTTGGGTGGGTTACTCAGTCTAGGGGTTGTAACCCACCCTGCAATCAGTTATTCCAGGGTCTCGGAGGGGCACTACCTGGAAGGGAATGAGCTAGGATAGAAGAATGAGGCTAAGCAGATTTGTCAAAGCCTCCCTTATTGGGATCATGGTTGCTGCTTATATAGACCCTGGATGAGGACTTGGTGGGCAGGGCACGGGATCTCGCCATGTGGTCCCGGTCACGTAGGCCAGGTTCGTCAGGTAAGCCAAGAGGTTACATTTGGACAGGTAGGCCAAGAAGTCACAAGTTGCCACACCTGGTTCCCTGGATAGCTGGAGTGTGAGGCGTGTTCTGCTAACAGATAAGTTAATTGGGTGTGGGGCAGGTTCTCTCAATAGAACATAATTATGGGTGTGGGGTTCTCTGCAGGCTCCCCAGGGTGATGGTTCCTGTAATGATTTTTAGGGGGGAAATGGCTCGTGACAGTACCACGTGATCGGTTGTGTGTGATGGCTAGTTTTCACTGTCATCCTGCCATAATCAAGAGTCACGTGGGAAGAGCGAGGGACTGTCTAAATCAGCGGCCCGAGGGCGTGTCTGTGGGCACGTCCCGAGTCCTTTGATTAGCTGGGAAACCCACCGTGTGGAGCGCCACCACGGGGTTTGGGTCCTGAGTTAGGTAAGCAGGAGAGAGCTAGCAGAGTTCTAGGCAAGCGTGCATGAACTCTTCTCTGCTCCTGACTGTGGTTGCAGTGTGACTGCTTCAAGTTCCTATGGCCTCACTTCCTTGCAATGGTGAGTGATAGCCTACCTGGAAAGGCGAGTTGAAATAAACCCTCCCCTAAGTAGCTTCTTGTCGGGGATATGTTACCACAGCAACAGCAACAAAAGCTGGACTGAGTGTGAAAGGTACTTGGGATGGCCTAGTGCTTAATCATTTTTATGTCTGTGACATTTAGGATGACATCTTATTGGCGGAGCATTGCCATTAACTTTTTTCCCTAGTTACGCTATGTCTCTGAATTTTTTTTCCTATGTAGAATTAAGGATAATACTTCCCTTTTGATAATTTACTATAAACTACAGAACATTGTACCTGCATAGTAAATCTAGCACCATGCATTTTGACCTTGCCTTGTGTAGCATTCCATGAGCATCTGGGTTCAAGTTCTAAGTAAATGCACATAGAGGCTCGGAACGAGTGAAGAGGGTGACGCAGATCAGTGAACAGCGCACTAGTGCACTGCTGGTGAAGAGGCTGGGCTGGAATGAGAGGGTATTGGAGACTGGAATTCTGGGGAAATAAGAGGTGCTGTATTTTGATTAGTTTGATTTGGGATCCATTATATACAATGTAATGGGGTTTTCCCTTGAAAACCTAGCTCATGGGTGACTCACCTCTTTGAAGCAGGTAAGCTTGCTGGTCAGAGTCACTGGTCCTTGCCCCATGCCGGCTCTGCATTTCCATCAAGGACTGCCTACTGGGATCAAAAGCGACACTACTCTGATGCACTGTAACCTTGCAACAGGACACCATTAACAGCCAACAGAATTGTGAGGGTGGGAAAAGAGTCAGAAAACAGAGCTGAAGTTCATAAGAACCAGAGTCGACTTGAGGGTGACTTTAGTAGCAGAGTGGTTGCCTAGCATACACAAGCCCTGGGTTATCCACCAGTGCTATGGAGCCAGTACTATCCACCCTGAACTCAGGACTAAGCTGATATTCTCTCTCTTATTTATTTATTTATGAGACAGGTTTTATCCTGTTAGTATAGTCCCGGCTGTCTTGGAACTCAGAGATCTGCCTGACTCTAGGTTGGTGCCATCACTACCTGGCTCTAACTTGATACTTTTTTTAAAAATATTTTTATTTTATGACCATTGATATTTTGCCTGCATGTATGTCCTTGTGAGGGTTTTGGGTCCCCTGAAACTGAGGCTACAGACAGGTGTGAGCTGCCATGTGGGTGCTGAGAATTGAACCTGGGTCCTCTGGAAGAGCAGTCAGTGCTCTTAATCACTGAACCATCTCTCCAGCCCCTCTAACTTGATTCTTAACTGCTACTAATACCAAGACAGAATATGATACAAACACTAAGCAGGCCTTTGTAAAATCAGGAAATAGCCTAACTCTTTATTGATAGCAAAGTGGATGAGAGAAAAGTGGCATGCTTCTGGATCAAAATATTACATGGCAATTAAATATAAGAAATTATTTCACTTGCTAAGAGAAAAAAACAAACAACCCCCCCCAAAAAAAACCTCACAGGGCAGTGGTGGTGCACAACTTTAATCCCAGCAGTGGGGGCAGGAGGGGCAGAGGCAGGCAGATCTCTGTGAGTTCGAGACCAGCCTCATCTAGAGAACAAGTTCCAGGACAGCCAAGGATATACAGAGAAATCCTGTCTTGAAAAACCAAAACAAACAAAACCCACATTTTCTAAAATAAATAAATAAATAAATAAATAAATAAATAAAAAATAAAAAAAAGATTTAAATCTTCATCAAAAGTTCCAATCACATGAAATAAATAAAATTGCAGAACAATAGCTATAATGATCATTTTGCAACTTAAACACAGACAGAATCAATATTGTCTTCCTTAAAGAACACCATATTGCAAGCTGGAAAGATGGCTGAGCAGTTAGGAGCACTTATACTCTTATTAGAGGACCTGGGTTTGGTTCCTAGCACCCACACAGTGGCTCACAACTATCTATAATGCCAACTCAGGTGGTTGGATATCCTCTCCTGACTTCTGCTAGCATAAGGCATCTGTGTGGGGCACATACAAATATGCAGGCAAAACACTTATACACATAAATAAATCTTAAAACTTTGGCTAAAGATAGCATGCAAGGATTTGTGTGCATATTTGTATGTAAAAGTATAATACGGATGGTGTGGCTACTCACCAGATTCCTGGTTTTACAGAGTAAGCAAGGGGGGGGGGGTTGCACTGAAGGATGGGAAAACAAGAGAGACTTTAGCTCTGGCTACACCTCCCTTTGTTCCTGGGGTTGGTGAGACGGCTGAGCTGGCAGAGGCACTGCTGACAGCTTGAGTCCAGTTCCTGGGATCCACGTGGAGGAAGAAGAGAACTGCGTCCTGCAAGCTGCCCTCTGCCCTCTATATACAAACTGTGGCAAGCATCCATAGCCCACACAAAAATGAATGTAATGAAAGTTGTTTAAAGAGAATTTTAAAAAATACTTGAAGCAAATGACATAAACAGTTCATTTAGAATGGTACACATACCACTTGTGTTATTTTATTTTCTATGTAAACATATTTTAAAACCTCTTTCAGTAAGCCAGACATTTGGTGTATGCCTGATCTTCAGTGAGGCAGGAGGACGAGTCTGAGGTCAGCACATAGTGCATAGCAAGTTCTAGACCAGTCTGGGTTACAGGGTATGACCTGCCCCCAAACAAACAAACAAACAAAAGAAAAAATACGTTTTTGCTGGGTGGTGGTGGTGCACGCCTTTAATCTCAGCACTTGGAAGGCAGAGGTAGGTGGATCTCTGTGAGTTCGAGGCCAGCCTGGTCTACAGAGCGAGTTTCAGGACAGGCTCCAAAACTACAACAGAGAGACCCTGTCTCAAAAAAACAAAAAGAAAAAGGTTTTAAAGTCAGAATTTGGTAAGTATTTTTTTTAAACAGATAATTTAAGGCTGGGTAATACACTGGGATGCAGAATGTTATTTTTATAGCTTATTTCAAAGCAAGGGAGTTGGCCAGGTTCCTACAGGCTTCTGTAAGCTTTGCTCTGAGCTGAGCTATGTGAAACACGAAACAGATGAGGTGTAGGGAGAGCTTCTCTGATGCGAATGAGGACATGGGTTCTACAGCGGACCTCTGTGAGCACCGACCTGTCTGCCACATCTCCTCTTGCTTTATCTTACCTGCCTCCATCCTCAAAATCATTGTTCTCTTTCAGCAAAATCGCCAGCTGCAGGGCCAGCTGCTCCTTTTCTTCATGAATCTTCTCTCTCGCTGCTCTCTCAGCATGAAAATCTGAGCAGTACACCTCCATCTGTTAGAGGAAAAGGTAAGTAAGTTACCATGGAGATGAGCGTGGATTCAGCGATGACCTTGTCTGAGGTCAGGGTCAGTGCTGCACAGGTGGATATGATTTGGGAATGACACAGAGCCTTTTGCTGCCACCTGCTGTACTAAACCGTGGCTTTCCAAAGCCATTAAACAGTAGATATAAGTTGTGTGCATGTGGGTGCTTTAAATCCTGAGAGCCACCAAACTGAACTGAAACAAATGACTTAAGGAATACATGCATCATTAATTCAGTAAAATAGTATTCAGGAAAAGGAGATAGTAAATGGTTTACCAGAATGTTAGTCTTAAGATAAATTTAAAATAAATAAATAAATAAATACATAGTATTTGTTGAATTCCAGACATGTGAGGTCTTATGTTAGCTGCTTATTTCACCTCATCAAAAGTCCTCAAAATAGCACTTGGGAGACGGAGGCAGGAGAATCATGTGTCTATTCAGGTCTATGTTACAACTCCTGGGCTATACAGCAAAACCCTGACTTTAAAAAGTCCTGGAAATACGAATTCGCCATCATTTTTCAAATGGACTTAATAGTCCCCAGTCTTAGGAGAGCCTGGCTGAGCACAGCAGCACAAGCCTGTGATCTCAGTGTTGCAGAGGTCGAGGCAAGAGGACGTTGAGTTCTAGCCTCGCCTGGGCTACACGGCAAGACTGTCTGAAAAAGACATTTGTTTAGTTACGTCAGTGTTTGAACCTAGACAGAAGTCTTATTTCCTCGAACTCTCCATAATTAGGCCCTTTTCTCTGCACCTGTGGTCACCAGCCTCTACTGTGGCTCCATGATCTTTATGTCCTGGTCCTGAAAATCTTCTGTGCTCTCCTCTCACAAGGGGGCCAGCCTATGTAACTCAGGATGCTACAGAAGGGTGGTTAGTGGATTCTGAACCCAGCTCATAAGGGCACTGTGGCTCATGCCTTGCTCTCTTCTGGATCATGTGCTTTAAGGTCAGCTGTCATGCAATGAGCAGGCCTCTGGGAAGGTCCACACAGGGAGGGCTCCTGACAGCCATGTGACTGTCATCTTGGAAATGGCCTGCCAAGTCCATTTTTAGTGCAGCCTCATGAGAGACTCTGAGCCAAAGCGCCTCCCTCCCTTGCTGGGCTGCTCCTGGATTTTCACCTATAGAATTTGTACGTGAGACAACAAATGTTTGCTTCTTTTTGAGCTGCTATGCTCTGTCTGGGGATAATTTGCTATATAGCAAAGTAGATAACTAATACATTATGGCAATGGTTTCATTGTTCTCAAATTATAACATGGAAAAACCCATTTCATAGTGAATGAAAGTGATCTGAACATTGTTTTAATCTTCTCTTGCATTCTTTGCCTTGTTGTATTTTGAGACAATATCTCATTATGTAGCCCTGGATGGCTTGGAACTCCATATGCAGACCACTTGCAGTCATGGGTTTGTGCCACATGTCCTGCCTTCTGGGTGTTAAGATTGCAGAATGCACCATTGCACCTGGTGCCAAGGTTTCTTTTCTTTCTTTAAAAATATTTTTGTGTGTGTGCTCATGTGCTCACGTGCAGGCATGCACACGTGTGTGCAGTACCTACAGAGGTCAGAAGAAGGTGCTGTGTTCTCTGCACTGCAGTTGCAAGGGTTTTGAGCTGCCTGACATGGGTTCTGAGAGCTAAAACTGGATCTTCTGATCAGGGCTGACCTCACTCAGCTCATGTTCTAGACCATGTCTCACCTGAGTCCTGAGGACAGCCATGGTTTCCAGGTCCTCCTCCTGCTTAGCAATGGTCTGTTTCATCTCGTCCATCTGAAGCTGCTTGGATGCCAAAGCCCGCTCTGCCAGCTCCAGCTTTTCATGAAGTTCTTGCATCATCATCTTGTCCACCTTTTCTGCCTGAAAAAAAATAAAACTTCATTCTAGAAATGGCTCTGAGACGATACAGCCTACTTCAGAAAAAGAGAAAGGTTTACACTTAAAAACCGTCAGCTCTAGTGTTTACCTAGCAGTGACACTTCATTCAGGAAGCTGTAGTCACTTGTGACTTGTAAGTAATCACGTCCTCATTTAAAACAATTTCTTAAAAGGTAACCCTGAACGTAGCATTGTTCACAGTATATGAATTCAGATCTTTAGCACACATCAAATACACAATAACAACAAGCCCTACTCTGATGAGCTTCTCAGGCATGGATACTGCTATTTATCTTGTTACTTTAATTTTGTCAACACGTTCATATTTAAAAGGGATTAGGTCCTTGCTGGGCATTACGGCTCATACCTTTAATCCCAGCACTCAGGAGGCAAGGATAGGCAGAACTCTGAATTCAAGGCCAGCCTTGTCTATGTAGTGAGTTCCAGGCTAGTCAAGGCTATATAGAGACTCATTCTCTAGATAAATAAATGCTTTTTAAAAGCTATTAGATTGTAATAGTCTTTTCTTTGTTGTTTTGTTTTGTTTTTGTTTCGAGAGAGGGTTTCTCTGTGTTAACAGCCCTGGCTGTCCTGAAACTTGCCTTGTAGATCAGGTTGGCCTCAAACTTACAGAGATCTACCTGCCTCAGCCTCCCAAGTACTGGGATTAAAGGTGTGCCCCACCATGCCTAGCTCTTTTTTTTTTTTTTTAATGAAATAGAAAGGGCTGAGCGATTATCCAGTCCGTAGAGTGCCTGCTGTGTGCGTGAGGTCCTGAGTCCAGAGCCTCGGCCAGACGTGATGGTGACTCTTGTCTGCAGCCTTAGTGCTGGGATCCAGAGACAGGAGGGTCCCTGGCTTGCTGGTCAGCCAGCCTAGTCAATTGGTGAGCTTCTGGTTCAATAAGAAAGACACTCAAAATAAAGGTGAACTGTCTCAAAAAATAGCAAACATCAACTCTGGCCTCTGCATATACAAACCAGTATGAATAAGAATGCACGCGCGCGCGCGCGCACACACACACACACACAGAAAATGAAAAGAAGAAAAAACATATATATATACAATCTTAGCTACTCAGGAGACTGAGGCAGTAGGATGCAAGTTCAAGATCTGCTGAGGTAACTCTGTGACTCTGTAAGAGGTGAAGGGTGGAGGATGAGAAGTAGCCCAATAGTAGAACATAGCTTGTAGGAGGCTGTAGGTTTAATCCCCACTATAGGAATGAAAGAGGGGAGGAGGGATAAAAGAAGGGAAGGAGGGAGTGGTAACAAGCATTTTTTTTAATAAGGATATGAATTGAAAGACTTAATTCACAGACTTCATGGCCTGTAAATTTTATATCATGCTGGGCATTGTTATTAATTTAAATTAAATGCTGCAAATCCAGGGTTCCAAGTTCACTGCCAGCAGGCAAGATGCCCTTGCATAATTTCATTCAGCAGATGGCCATAGCCACCTGTCTCCCTGCACACCGTTCACATAGGAGCCCAGGCTCTCAGCTCTCCTCCAAACAGACCCCGAGAAATAGGAAAAGCCATGCCCTGCCTGGTGAACATCAGCACCGTCTCCATACACAAGCAGGAATAGCTACAATGATTTTGACATAACTGATAACTGCAAAGCGCTTTCTGAAAACAGACTGAGTTGAGGGGTCATGCATTTATTTACTTATTTATTTTTGTAGATAAAATGTTCAATGGAGGGGCTGGAGAGATGGCTCAGTGGTTAAGAGCATTGCCTGCTCTTCCAAAGGTCCTGAGTTCAATTCCCAGCAACCACATGGTGGCTCACAACCATCTGTAATGAAGTGTGGTGCCCTCTTCTGGCCTGCAGGCATACACACCAGACAGAACATTGTATACATAATATATAATTAAATAAATATTTTAAAAAATATTAAAAAAATGTTCAATGGATTCCATCCACCAGACTATGGAAGTCTATTTTTTCTCCATAAATACCTGTTTTCTGGTTAGCTCCTCAATTGTTTTCAGTGCATTATTATGTTCTTGAAGAAGCTTGTTGTGTGTTGACTGCAGAGTGGCTAGCCTGGATCTATTAAAACATGATATTAAAATGGAATCATGAGAGAAATGTCACAGAAACGCTTGCTTTTGTTTCCCCAACAGCCTTGAAAGCTCAAGCAGATGAATCTCTGCTTCCCCCAGCCCAGCACTGACTTTTCATCCTCCGTCTTGGCTTGCTCCATCTTGATTTCAGCGCGCATGCTCTCCACCTGCAGCTCTAACTTCTTGTTGTTATACACGAGCTCCTGCTTCTCCGTCAGCTCTGATGGCGTGGCCGAGTTTTTCCTCTCCAGAGCCTGGCACCTGAAAAGACGAATATTTCATGAGGAGAATCCAAGCTTTGCCACTCCCGTGGCGGCTTCTGCGCAAATCCCCAAAGGACTTAAAATACAGAGTGTGTTAGGGCTACAGGATTCATGGAGGCAAATAAAATACTTTGTTCTTTGCTTCCTACTTGCTTTTTGTTCTGTTTCCTTCTTCCTTGCTTCTTGCTTAGGTACCTTTCAGAGTTTAAAAAGTGTGTCTGTCACAAAGACTTGGATTTCTGACAAGGATTCAGTAAGAGGGAAGGAAAGCTCCTGAGTTTCTCTTAGAGATGAGAAAGAGAACTTGAACAGAATAGTAGTAAAACCAAATAAATGATAGCTCTGTGCAGGGTGTTAATGCCAAGCAATTCACTATCTCACAATACATTGAATATCACAATATATGCACATCATATGAACTCTGACAAAACTGAGGTTCGGGGAAGTTAAATTGCTTGACCAATATGACATCAACTTGGCTTGCTAGCTTTGACTAACACCTCTTTAACATTTTTATTTACTTGTCTGCTTTGTGTGTATGTGTCAGGGTGTGCAGTGGAAATCAAAGGACAATTTGGGGGAATCAGTTCTGTCCTTCCATCTTGTGGGTCCTGGGGATGGAACTAAGGAACTCAGGTTGTCAGGTCTGGTGGCAAGTGTCTGCTCACCGAGCCCCCAACCCCGTTTTACACTATTTAGTTCAGGCTGGCCTCAAACTACCAACCTTCCGGCCTCGGCCTCTCCAGTGCTGAGACTGAAGTACTGTGCCACCACTCCTGGCTGGGACGGCTCTCCTACTCCTAGGCCTACCTTAGTATTATGTGTTAGACAGGGCCTTGGCCATGCTAGGCAAGCACTCCAATCCATAAGCTAAATGCTCAGCTGTCAGATAGTTCCTTAAATCAAGAAAAACGAGCAAGGGCCGAATCATCACTAACTATGCCAGTTTTAATGACTCAAACGATTGACTGGGATGGGCCTTTTCTAAATGACCCCACCCGATTCTATGCTCATCAACCCACAGCTCTGTACAACAGTCACATAGGCCGGTGCTCTTCACAGCACAACCCGAGCCCTCCTGGGTGTCCTCATGACCCAGGTGACAACAATGGCTTCAGGCTTATACACCAACATCAAAACTTTTTTTTCCTGAACCATATTTCAGATAGGTCCCTGCTTTTCTTCAGTCAGGAATACAGTAACAAAACCATTTTGATATAGTAACACGCTTCATAAATCATGCAATAAAATGAACTGAATTATTACTTTTCTTGAAGTCTCTTCTTCATTAGCTCAGCCTCACTGAGTTTCGTGTGTGCCTCTTGAAGCTCCTTAAACAGAGATGTCACTCGTACGTTCAGTATTTCCACTTCGCTTCCAACCTATCACATAGACAAAGCCGGACATTCACATAAGAAACATCAGAGCAGACATGAACCGTGTGTGAGAAACAGCCCGCACCACTAGCATCCAGCTAACACTGATTGATACCCCAAATAGATTTAATTTGGGCAAAACCTCCTCAAGTGCCTTGTGGGACGAGCAGTCTTCTGGGTATGCTTCTATTTCCGTGTAGAGCAACTATCAGTCTGAGCATGCATGATAATGGATTTACTATTAAACCCCACCCTAATCATGCTTCAGGGATCAAAGGTCACAGAGATAACAAAGTGCAATCTTACTTATCTGGGGACAGACTCAGACCCTACTGTCTTGCCTACTTCTGCTTCTAGTTCATGTTATTGTTTCTGTTATACAGCTTTTTTCCTGGAAGTCTGCCTATTGTTTCAGGACAGCTCAGAAACGTCAATACTTGCCCATAACTGTTGGTTCATTTCAGTTAATGGTGTGCTGTTCCGCAGAAGAACTCTCTTCATCTACGTTCGCTGTGTCCCCTCTCCACCCAGCCCTCTGTCCCACCGCCTTCCTCCTTCGTTTCCCTTTTGTAGCCACGCTGGTCTGGAACCTGCTCTGGAGCATAAGCTGCCCTCAAACTTGAAATCCACCTGCCTCAGCCTGCCAGGCACTGGGATTAGAAGGGTGTGCACCATTGTGTCAGACGTCGAAATGTTCTCCATTGCCTTAAAGTAGGGACTCAGAGTCAGGCAAGGTGGTGCACATCTGTAATCCTAGCACATCTGAGTCAGGAGCATCAAGAGTTCCTCTCCAGGGCTACATTGTACATCAGAGCTTAGCTATGGCTGCACAGTAAGATGCTGTCGTTTCCTGACCCACCTCCCGGGAAAAAAGGGAAGGAAGTAGCAAATAGTGTATGTGTGTGTGTGAGTGTATAAGTCTGTGAGTGTGTATGTGTCATGTGTATGTGTATTGATGAATACAGTGAACAAAAGGATCCTTTATGCTTCTCTCTTAAGGACTTCTCTGAGTACCATAACTTCCTAGCTTTGGGAACTATTCCCAAGCTTTAGACTTTTCAGGCTCAAAGGCATATCTCTGAGTTACCATACAATGCTGAATATATATATTCAGGAACATTTTTTTTCATGCCAACTTCCTTGTTCCTACTAGTGAAGCAAGATCTTCCAATTCTAAAAGTTTTAGAGCCCTTTCCACAAATGATCTCATCAAAACATAGTCAAAATGTCTTTTCCATGTGGTAGGCTTTGTTGGCTTAAGGATTTAGGGGGTAATATCAGTCAAGAAGAGATATGCGTGTTTCATGTATTACAGATTGGAATACATCTTACTGTGATTGATATGGAGTTCAAACCCAGGATTAGGAAATGAAAAAAAAATAGAAAATATCCAGTAACAAACAGAAAGTTTCCATTTCTAAAGTAAACAGCACAACATAAAGCTTGAACTCACAGCTACATCACCAATGGGGGTGTGATAGTTTCATAGTAGTGTTATACCCACACTTTCTGGCTCTTTGTCCTCTTCACCCTCTTCTCTCCTCCCCTCTGTCTGGGTCTCAATCTCAGAACGGTTATTTGCTTTCTTTTCAAACTCTGAAATTCTGAAAAACAACAACAAGAGAATACAGAAAAGTTTGACTTTCTGCAAGAGGGTCAGCATTGTTGAAGCACTCCAGTGGGCACTCTCTGATGTGGGAGTGATTTCTTATTAATAAAGAAACTGCCTAGGCCCATTTGATAGGCCAACCCTTAGGTAGGCGGGGAAAACAGAACAGGATGCTGGGAGAAAGAAGCTGAGTCAAGGAGTCGCCATGATTCTCCCGCTCCAGACAGACGTAGGTTAAGATCCCCCCTGGTACGCCAGCTCGTGGGCTACACAGAATATTAGAAATGGGTTAGAACAATATGTAAGAGCTAGCCAATAAGAAGCTGGAACTAGCCGGGCCAGGCAGTGTTTAAAAGAATACAGTTTCCGTGTAATTATTTCGGGCATAAGCTAGCCATGCGGGTGGCCGGGTGCCGGGACGCAGCCCTGCTGCTCTTATTTCAACAACTCTCAAAGTCTGGAGAAGAGAGGGGTTTTCAGTCTCTTTGTATTGGCCTCATTAGCAGTGGCCGTGTTCTCTATCCTAAGCTGGGAGAACTGCTGTGACTGAGGATAAGTACACACAGAACACAGCTCTCTCAGCACAGGTGAAGCCAAGAGACTGCGGGTGAAGGTGGCAGACTGGCTGCCACGACAGTACAGGTCTGTAATCTCAGCTCCTGGGGAATCTGAGGGAGAAAGCAGAAGTTCAGAGGCTGCCTGGGTGACCTAACAATTGCTGTCCAAGGCTAGCCTTGGCTACTTCAGAGGACCCCGAATCAAAACAAAAAGTAAAACGAGAGTGAGGGATGTGGTAGATTGCCTAGCATGCCTATGTCCCTGGCTTAAGTCTCCTATGCTTAAGTACACACACATAGTAGGTTCCGTATATACATGTAATTCTTCTCCCACTACAAATCCTACAAACGTAACTTTCAAACAGACACAAGCCTACAGGAACAAAAAGACAGCAGCAGCAACAATAAACGTTCCTGTACAGAATGAGTAGGGGAGGGTTAGTGTTCTAAGAAAGCTGGACCCTAAACCAAGAATAGGGAGGGCCAAGGAGTTACCTGTGTCATACTGCTGAAACTCTTTATGGTTTGGGAATTGGGGATATTGTGTGTATCCACAGGATGGGGGGGACAAATAAAGACAGCTGGAAATGATAAAATAAGGGGGCTCAGGATGCAGACATGTTTAGCACAGTTGAGGGACTGGTTTCCTACCTAAAGGAAGGGAATTTACATTAGACAGATGAAGCCCTGGCCCTCTCCTTTTCATGTCAAGAACCCCACCATCTAGAAAGAGATTATCTAAGCAGGAGATGGGAGGCATTCTCTGGAGAATTGGACTAGGGACAGGCAAAACATTTTAAGGTTTTCTTTTTTTTTTTTTTTTTGGTTTTTCGAGACAGGGTTTCTCTGTGGTTTTGGAGCCTGTCCTGGAACTAGGTCTTGTAGACCAGGCTGGTCTCGAACTCACAGAGATCAGCCAGCCTCTGCCTCCCGAGTGCTGGGATTAAAGGCGTGCGCCACCACCGCCCGCATTTTAAGGTTTCAGACACAGCCTCACCAAGGAAATCCCCAAGTTGAGTCTTTCCAAAGCTTCAAGTAGCTTTGAATTCTCCTCCTTGCTAAATCTAAGCAGCCAAGATCACTAGACATTTGAGGAAAACCTTGAAATAAAACATATTCTGCTCTGAAAATAGAACAAATCAGTGTAAAGGAGAGATTATCATTAATATCCCTAGAGACCCAAGACATTATATATATTCACTAAAAATTAAACAAATCTACCCTAAAATGATGGACAAGAGTGAGCAAGAGAACACAGATAACAGAGGAACACAGGTTAAGAAAACCACATGATTAGTCCTATCTAAAAATAAAAGATGATAGCAGGTTTTTTTATAAGTGAAAAAGGACCAAGTTAAGACAAAATCCCCACATTAATTGAGATTGCTTTGTAAGGACACAAGAGCAGGAGTCAGGAGAATGAAACTAAGTGAAAAACAGCTTCCAACTAAAACAGACGTCAAATTTCAGACCCTGCAGGGGTGAGGAAAAACAGCACCAAAAAGTTCTATACAAAAAGAGTCAGAATCAGAAAGGCAATGGGTTTCTCAGCAATAAAAATAGAAGTACAATAAAGGAATGATTTCAAACTTCACATGGAAAACAATCAGCCCAGAGTTCCCTATTTATCCAAACCATTGGTCGAGTATAAAGACGGACGGAGAGGCAGATCTCAGAAAATAGTCTTCTCTAATATTCCTTCTCAGTAAGTCAGTAGAGACGTAATTAAGAGACTGGGAAAACTTGGAGATACAGTTATATAGAACACCACCTCCAAAACTCAAGATGAAATTTTTGGGGTTAGAGGATTTTTTAAAAAATTGAATAAAAACATAATTTATGAGGAAATATATAATATGATCCCATTTAAGTTTATACCACAACAGACTGGGATAGGTACATAGAAAAATCTGTCAGAAAAAGGAAGCAACAATTAACATAAGATTCAGAGGAATTGGGTGTGCGTGTGTGCATATGAATACAGAGGTCAGGAGAGGGCATCAGATAGATCCTCTGGAGTTAAAGCAGTTGTGGGTGCTGGGGACCACACTTAGGTCCTCTGTAAGAGCAGTATATTCTCTTGACTGCTGAGCTTTGTCTCCAGCCCTTTATGTTGACACTCAGTTGCCATGGCACTGTAGCAGCCCTGCCCTCAGGAGAGCTGTCATCTCAGGAGTGGGTTCCTAATAAAAAGGCTCGGATAAAAACTTGACTGTTTTCTGTTGAAAGCTTCCAGTACTGCAGGCTGACTACACTTCCACAGTTTCTAACCCACTCTGTTAAAGGAGCAGAAAACAGACCAAGACATTAAGCAAACGTGTAAATGACTGATTTTGCACTGAGATATAAAAAGTATAAGAGGGAAAAGTGATTGTTGCACAGTGCATGGCTCGACTGTGAGCACACACATACATACATGCACACGTGTATGCCTAGATGCTCAGCAACATGAACACTGGGTAGTCATGTGACTAATGCTTCAAATTATTGATTTCAGCTGCGAACAGGAGTTAGCGAAAGTCCAGAAATGCACGTACTGTGTTGATGATAGTTGTGCAAGACAGCTAAATCTTCCTCATCCATACTTAGAGGTCAATATGTTATATTTAAAACTTTCAAAGAAAATAACAATTTAAACCTTATCCATGAAGGCAGCTACCAAAGGGACCAGATGGGCTGACAGTGACCGAGAAGCAGGAATAGTGTGGGTGGAGGGGCTGGTCAAAGCACTGCTTCTCCACGGGAGTCTGGAGAACCACTCTCTGTCATTTTTGGGTTACAAGCTGTCCACCTTAATTGGTATGCAGTGCTGTCTCTCCGGCTGGGCCTTTTCGGTCTGTTCCATGGAAGAGGTGCCAGATGGCACAGGCAGGAGGGTGGGCTTATTAACACCATAGTACCGTTCATATGTGACACAGGTTTTAATCTATGTTTGGATTACAAGTTATCTTAATTTTCTGGGGCAAATACTCACTTTGAGTCATCTTTCCCTTGCTATTTAAACAGGGGCTACATCTCCTAAGAACTTCTTTCTCCTTACTGACTTATTTAGAGAAGTCAGCTGTGGCGGTGCACACTTTAACCTCAGCACTCAGGAGCCAGGGCAGGTCGATCTGTGTGTGCTCAGCAGGGTTTATTACAGCATAGTCCAGGCCAGCCAGGGGCTACATAGTGAGATCTTGTCTCAAAAAAAAAAAAAAAAACCCACTGAAACAACAATATAACCCCAAATAACAAATCAACAAAACCAAAATGATAGAGAAAAGACAAAAATAAAAAGCCCTACAATGACATGAACCACGAAAGCTGTACACACCCCAAAGAAGACAGAAAGGCAAACCTACTACCATCCCTTTCCCCCATATATCACCTAAAAGTGTGTTTTTCTTAAACTTAAATGTAGAACACCTGTATCCCTGTTTCCAGTGACCGGGGAGAAAGGCTAAAAGCTGGCCTGCTTATTTCAGAAAAACACAGGGTTGGTGTTGGAATGTGTTTGTGCCATAACCAGTTTCAGTGTGTGCAAACCAGGCTGGGTGGCCACATGTCCATGATGTGTGCTGGCTTTAGTCCTGCTGTGTCTGAGAAGCACCCACTATCCTGGTACCATGCAGAGAATAGGAATCTTTGCAACTACTTACTGGCTTGCCCTGTTAAATACTGAGAGTCATCTGGGTCACAAGAGAGAAGTTTAATGTCATCAAAAAAGGAACCTTTCTAGGATACTCAGGGTTGGGTGTGCCCCTCTAAAGAGCCATCTATATCTTCCAGTATCTAGGGAGAAAGCTGTGTTTTTGTTTGTTTCGTTTGAAAGCAGGAAGATTAGGAATATATGATTAGCCAGCTGCCAGGCTTATACATCTTCTATTTGTTATTCATCAACATTAAGGACAGAGTCCCGGCATACACAGCGTTGTAGATGAAGCTCATCACTATGCTGAGTGGAAGAAGGCAGTCACAGACCAGTGCTATATTTGTCCAGGGCACAGAGATCTCCAAAGACAGAGAGTTGGTTATTGGGGAAAGCAGGTAGTGAATGCTGAGGGGAACTGACTCTTTATATGGGGGGGAAATAGTCAAGATTACATTGTGGCATTGGGCATATGGTCATGTGACTAAAAGCCTTGGAATGTATACTTTAAAGGGTGATCTGCATCTTATCTTGTGTTTTACTAAAGCCATTAATCTTTCATATTAATAGTTCATACCTTTCTTTGGCTTCTTTGAGGGCGAATTCAAGTCTCTCCACCTTTTGGTTTCCTTCCCTTAGGCAGAGCAGGAGTTGTCTCACAGTTAATTCCTCAAACTCCACACATGTCCTGGCATCTTCTGTAGATTTGGTCCTAATAAGACATCACCAGCACATTCAGTATGGAAGTTAAAAAGGTTTTAATCTCAACAAAAATATCAAGGATAAGAACAGAGAAGTCCAACACAGCTGAAACCAACATCCTCCAATTAATTCTTAACTGCCCCAAGCACGGCTGATCCTGTGGACACTGTTTAATTCTTCTTTGCACGCTGGGAAGGCTGTGGAAACTAACATAATGCTTCACAGAAGCTAACCTCATAAAGCGAGCACTCACTCCAGAGTTAGTGTCCACAGTGGCTGGAGGTGTGGTGATCCCCAGAAAATCGGTTTCAGAGTGGACTGCAGATTAAACTATTCAGGTCCATTCAAACCACTGCCCACTCCATCTTGGCAGAGACTATCATCTCTGTGAGTCAAGTGAAGAAAAGCCTTTCTGGTTTTGGTTTCACACAAAGCAGAGGCATGGAGACACTAATGTCAAATGTTACCTGATCAAGAGACACAGTCACAACAAACAAGCATCTGTTACCACCACCCAGTGACAGGATGGTCAGAGTGATGACAAAGACGGCAGGGATGGCAGCTAGTCTTTCGGCCATCTGCTAGGCTCACATAGCTAACAGCCAGGATTCAAGACTCCAAAGCTGGAACTCTGAGCCTAGAAACCACTACCAGATCCCTTACCAGACTCGTACAAGGTAAGAGCCATGGGTCTGAAAGAGGAAGGAGTCTTTGCATATGGAAATAAATGAAGAGGAAGTGGCTTAAAAATTACAAACACAGTTTTCTTCCTTCCCTCTACTTCCAGGAAAGTCTTGATATTAAAATTAGCAATTTGGGGAAAGTTGCATTTTAAACTAAAAAAAAAAAAAAAAGCCAGTAATAACATTCATCTACCGCAATTACTCTGGTGGAAAACTGTTGTATTATTTACATTCTCTGTCACATGAGAACATAGGGATAGACAAAAAAAAAATGTTGCTACTTTGTGTCATTCTCTAGGCACATTTATCAAGTGATAGAAAAAAATGGTTTTAAAAGTCTGTGAGGTAGGACACCCAGAGGACTTCTGAGCAAACTGACAAGCAGACGGACTGATGTTGCGTGTACACGCGCAGAGGATCAGTGGACCAGCAGCTTTGGGGAAGACTGCCTTCAGAACCAAGTTCAGTGCCTAGATCTGCTGCTGCCTCGGCTCAAAGGCCGGCCCTCCCAGTATGTGTCTGCTCCCTAGAACCTGCTTGGGAAACGCAGGTTTGAGATTGCCTAGGTAAGTTCCCAGACATTTTTGAGGTTGGCCAGATGGCTTAGTAGGTAAAGATGTTGCCGTCAAGTCTGATGGCCTGAGCTTGATTCTCAGAATCCACACAGTGGAGAGAACGTATTTCTATAAACTGTGTGCACATGTGAGCCTCCACATGTGTACTGTAGCATGTTCCCTCCTCATCATGTACATACACACTAATAATAAGTTAAGGAAAAAGATCGGGGCACTTTCAAGAAATGTCCCAGTGATTGACAGCTATCACAGCCTTTGCCTCAGTAACCAATACTGGTTACTGTGGCTTATTACAGTCAGGGAAGAATAGGAAGAGAAAGCGTACATCCCATTTAAGGAAGCCTGTTTACTTCAAGTAGCTCTGACAAACAGAACTGCAGACTAGGAATTATCTTTTTGATTGAGGATAAACTTGTTTACATTTAGGATAGAGAGGAATTTGCTTACATTTCTAAAAGAGAGGAAACAGCTCTGCAACAGAGGGTCAGCACTTGTTAGCCTTAAAAAGGCACCAGACATTGTTTTCATTCCCTGCTAGTTTGGGCTGCAACATTAAATGCCATTGAAAATGAGCATTAGCTCATGGGAAGCTGAGGCAGAGCAGTTGCAGGTTCAGATTAAACCCAGCGAAGACCCTGCCTCAGAAAACGTTACTTTTCTTCAGCCCATGACGCCTGACCTCCAATGACAGGTTCAAAGTGACGCGGTTGCCCCTTCTGCGCCCCTGAGAACTCTAGAGTTCGATCACCTACATGCTGAAGAAGTCTGGTCTTGTAGGTACAGGACTGTTCTTTAGTTCCTTCACTGCCCCTTCAGCTTCTCCTTCCTGTAAAAGCAGAGATGAAAGGAACTGAATACAACAGACTTGCAAGACAGATCTCTTTTCAAAAGAAAAAAACAGGAGTCCACCCAAGGAAAATACTCGGCTTTTGTATGAGAGATGACCTAAACGGGGTCACTCAAAGGAAACAGAAAGCACTCTCCCCTGGGCCTGCGTGCCCTGGCAGGATTACACACACTTAAGCTAAGGCATAACAGTTAAGCTCCTGCCACACTCAAACCAACTTCATAAACACGTGCACGAGGCTTACAAAGCAATCGTTTGGCTAAGGCAGCTACCGTTATAAATTTGCCTGCACCACTGCCTGTTAGGGAACCAAAGCCTAAGGACTTAGACTGACAGGATTTGTGAGCTGGTCATGTCTCAACAAGCTAATGGAGTAAATCTTCACACGGGCACACAGATGGCTCGGGAGGCTCCGACTGTGCTCTTCCTAAGCCACGGACAGAGTTTCCCAGCTCACAGCAGCAGAGTGAAGCACATCCACACTCACAGTGATTTCACTCGTCAGGGAGAAGAGGCCGCATTTGGAAACGTGACAAAATGTCTGTGTTTCCTGACGTTCACAGGAAGAAAGCTAGATCTAACTTTGCGTTTCAGCCACTTGCAGAGAAGTAGACTTTTCAAGTCATCATTCTGGGCACCTGAATGCACCTCAAATTTAGGGGTCATTTTCCAACTGGACTGATCTGTAGGGCAATTGGTGAGTCCCAGGCTAACTGCTCCAGATCTCTCTCGTACCTTAGGGGTCTTGCAAGCTGCTCTCTGGCCTTATCTACAAAGTGCACTTCTCTCCTTAATCGCTTTTCCTACATCGGATATGAACTCTGACAAACGGAATGTCACTTCTATTACAAAGGATTTTGTCTGGTGTAGTTTTTACCCTCAGTTTAGGCATCTCTCAACAGCACTGAAGGAGAGATCCCTCTGATGCTTATCCACCTGCTTTCTTCCTGTTATGGGGCTGAGCACACCCAGATACCGTCAAAAGCGACACCCCACACGAGCTCAGTGCACACTGCCCCATTTGGCCAATTCACTTGGGTTGCACAGAATTTAAGTGTGATAGCTCTGGCTTCAAACTCTGTCCTCAGAAGCCAAGTCATGGCTTCTAGCAAGGAGGTAAAGAGCAGATCCTCCTCCGTCTGCACCCAGAGTAACTGTTCTTCTTGCCTCCGCCCCAGCATTTATCTTACTGTTGATTATATGTATGTATGCACTGGTGTGTAAGGAGCGCAGGTGAGTGCAGGCACCATCTGAGGACAGAAGAGGGTGTCAGTGCTCTGGGACTGGAGCTAAAGACAGTTGTGAGCCACCCAATGCGGATGCTTGGGATGCAACTCAGGTCTGCAGGAGGGGCAGCTGTATTCTAACTGCTGGGTCTATCTCCAGCCACCACCCCGCTTTTTGAGGCAAGGTTTCCTGTTCCACAGGCTGGCCTTGAACTGGCTATCTAGTTTAGAATAACCTTGAACTTCTGCTCCTCCTGCTTCTACCTACTGAGTCCCAGGACTACAGGTGTGTGCTACTACACTTAGTTTCTGTGGCACTGAGGATGGAACCCAGGGTTTCATACATGAAACATGAATGGCCAGACTTATATGGCTAGTCCAAAGGAAACTACGATTCTCCAAACTACAAAAGGTAGCCGGGCGTTGGTGGCGCACGCCTTTAATCCCAGCACTCGGGAGGCAGAGGCAGGCGGATCTCTGTGAGTTCGAGACCAGCCTGGTCTACAGAGCTAGTTCCAGGACAGGCTCCAAAGCCACAGAGAAACCCTGTCTCGAAAAATCAAAAAAAAAAAAAAAAAAAAAAAAAAACAAACTACAAAAGGTAGTGCGTGGTCTAGAAATGACAGTTGGTCCAGTTCAGGCTGGACTGTAGAAGGATCTCTGGTGGTTAGAGAAAAGCCAACACTCCTTAGGAACTTGTGAACCGCTGGCAGACATGCCCTTGGTTGACATAAACCTATAGCTGCACATCAAAGCCCATGCCGGCCTCCAGGTTCCTACAGCCCCTACTCTCACTGCCTCATGCCTCCCTCTCACCCTAAACTCCCAGGCCTGTCCCCGATCACTGACTCCCTTCCCCCAGCTCCTGGTCCTTCTTATAACCCAAATGATTCTTCCACGCTGCTCCCCACTCCCACCCCAGCTTCACTTGTAGATATCCACATCCAGTTTGTTTCTTTTCTCTTTAAGACAGACCCTTCTAGATGCCTCTGGATATTTTCTCTCTTATTCACAATACAAATATCCCTCCTAATAACAGAGTAGCCATTTTGATGGTTTCTTTCCTGTGCCCTCACCTGCATCCAGGACAACCCTTGTTCGGGGCTATACACTTAAACAAGTTTCCAACCGTGGCCTCTCCTCCCTGAGTGACGTCACTGTGAGTGTGGATGTGCTTCACTCTGCTGCTGTGAGCTGGGAAACTGTCCGTGGCTTAGGAAGAGCACAGTCAGAGCCTCCCGAGCCATCTGTGTGCCCGTGTGAAGATTTACTCCATTAGCTTGTTGAGACATGACCAGCTCACAAATCCTGTCAGTCTGAGTCTTTAGGCTTTGGTTCCCTAATAGGCAGTGGTGTAGGCAAATTTATAATGGCAGCTGCCTTGGCAAAATTTAATAGCCAATTTATCTCTGTGACTCTGTTACTCCTCATTTGGCTGAGCTGTGTTGACAGCAAATTGTGGGTAATTCTTTCATGTCTCCCCAGGAGGCTTGCTTGCTTAGCATGTTTAATTTGCAAGCAAGCACTCTCAACAATTAAGCTATACAACCAGTAGATTTTATCATTAAAAAGTATTATTATTATT